AATATATATATATATATATATATATATATATATATATAAAATTAAGAGCAAGCTTTCTATACTTACCCTACTGTCTAAAACTTATCCCCTATCCAACCGTCCATTCTGAATGGACGCGCTTGATATGGCCCTAATCACAATATCATGCCTCTACACTACTTCATTTTTAATTTTCTTCTAAAAAAACATTTTGACACCAAATTTCGGCATCCACTCCTCTCTTAAACTCACACCTGTAAAGAACATTAAACAAATATTTTTTATAAAACAAAATGACCAAAATGTCCCCTAAAAGTTTCAGGGGCATTTCGTTATTTTATTTTATAGAAAATATTTTTTTAGGTGTGCCCCATTGAGATGATGGCACGAACCAAATTTCATATTCATATAATTTGTAGAAAAAAACTAATAATCATATAATTTGTAAAAAAAAAAAAAAAACGACTAAAAAAAATATATTCTGGGGCGTCGGATCTAAATCCAACGGTTAATGGCTCACTTGATCTAAATTCGATGGCTAGAGGGGGTGGGGAGTATATATCTTCTATACAGCATGGGAAAAATAGAACCTTTCCCTATTATTAAAGGCTGACAAACCATAAACCAGGTAAAAGACAATGTTACCATGGAAGAAACAGCAAAATAAGAAAGAAAAATAAATTGTCAAAATAGAATAGAGAGAAGTCAAGGTGGACCAAAGTGCTGCTGGCTTGATAATAGAAATTCTCAAGTTCTTTAACAAAGTCCATAGCAGAAAGGATGCCCAAGATATACATCACAGATAGAACTTTATGAACACATGGATACCTCAAATGTAATCCCATCTAATGCCATTGCATTACTTGCTTCCTCAACAGTCCTCATCTCCACAAATGCAAACTTCTTTTCATGGTTTATGTACACATTAACAACAGCATCACCTGCAAATACAAAGAGAAAGCAACCTGGGTAACATCACAATAACATCATATGCAATACAATAACAAAATGGATAGTTGCACGAACTGATTAGAAAGTATGAAAAGAAGAAAGTATCCACATAAATTTAATGGACGCTTCCAAAAGTGTTAGAAGAGATCCAAGAGATCATAAGCTCCATGTAATCCCAATTTCAGTAAGTGAATAGGGAGATGACAGTAAGAAGCCCTCGCGCCGGACCACGTGGTGTTGAGGGCAAGTTTAAGTGAGATTCAACATTGAGTAGGTAGAATTCTCTCCTCTCAATGTAATGACATGCTTATTTTATGGTACCATCCATTTTATGATCAAAATGGATTTAAATTGCAGGAAAAAAAATACAAAAGAAAGAAAAGAAGGAAAGTACTAGAAGTACTTACTACCTGGACCTGCAGTATTTCCTCCAATAGCTGACATAACATGGCTGAAAAATGTTGCGATCGTCTGCATAAGATAAACAAATGCTGTTAGCAGCAAAATTAAAAACCAAACTTATAATAAATACAATAATATCTTGGCTCCATGAATGAGGGAAATGTACATTGTTTTTCATATACAATGGGAGGGAGAACTACTTATATAGATACAAGAATATCTTACCTGCTCATTCGCCATGGGAGGGAGACCTCCAACATATACACGGCGCGCATGCCTTGTAGCCTGTTGGAAAGTGAAAAATGTGGTTCCTCGTTTCACAAACTAGATATTGTCAAGATAGGATTCTGACGTACCTGTTGAGTCATTGCTTGTGCCGGCATCATTGCCATTCCAGGAAACTGTAAACCCAAAAAACATCAACAAAATATGTACATGAATAATGTTTGTCTAATGTTCTGAAAACATTCAGGTGCATGACCCAAGTTTGCAAGCCAGTATAAAGCAGTGCTTGTGCATGTGCGTGTGAACTCACCGGAGCAGTTGTCCCAAAGGGGAACATGTTGGGGAGCATTCCAGGCATGGGCTGTGGGACACCAGGTAACTGCCCTGTGTGATAGAAAGAAAATCATTCAATAAATGAAACAAGATTAATTGCCAAACAGCGACATTACTAAATGTGTTGCGACAAGCAATCAAGCAACACATAGACAGCTCCTGTGTGTCACCTTAATGCATGATTTTCATAGGCCTACTTGATATGATGCCTTTCATAACTGAAATTCATTTATGAAAAAGAGAAGGAAGTCCATCATTTCAGATGCTGAAGGAAAATCTGTAAGTCTACCAAAAGGCAATAGTTGCCGGTTGAAGGCGAACAAGATCCATACTGGTGCATTGATTCCTCGTTGAACATTAAATCTACTGTGGTCACGCCAATGGGCAGCACAGTGGGACATGTGGCCCAACATTGCCTTCTTACCCCAAAAAAGTAAACACAAACACAAACAAACAACCACACACAACAGCCAACAACCAAACAACCGGCCTCAGTTTCAGTATGAAACCACTAATTAAACGAAATATTCCTAAAATAAAAATGATAAAGTCCTCATGCATATCATAAGCTAGTGCTAGAATGCACATGCAAGTATGCAACAAATCACACATGATGAAGATATAGCAAAAGCAGACAAAGTCCAAAGGGATGTAATACGTACCTGCAATAGGAACCCCAGGGATCACAGAAGCACCAGGAGGTGCCATGTCAAAACCGCTAGCCCGTTTGCTGACAAGTATTTTGCCAATAGTTAGATAATTATATAATTATTAATGGACAAACGAAATTCCTGTACCCATAATATTTGTCATCCATTAGCTCATCTCACATTTGAACTCCAGAAAATTCAGAGAAGCCATTAGAGAAGTTATGAAGAAACACTAGTAGTACTTGAATTAAAGAATAGAATCAGTAAAAAGGCAGTGAATATAGAAGTTCTATTATGAAATGAACATAGAGATATTAAAAATCTTACAGAACAGGTATAAAATAGATATCTACTGGCATGGACCATCCTAATAGCGTATACATAGGATGGACACATAAAAAGAGAGATGCAAGTATACACATGCACAGGCAGAGGCAGTAAACATGCATGCATGTGTATATTACATAAGTTCATAGAATGTAAGTATAAAATGCAACCATACAATGAAATACCTAGATATTTTCATATCCATTGCATGTTTGTTCATTTTGTACCATGCATGAGTGAATAACATTTACATATGCTGGCACATGGTCACATGTTTTGAATCCCAGTATATGAGCATTTTTTGCCCATCGCACTGATGAGTGCACAGACACATTTGTGTGTTTGTAATCAAATTGTGACATACACTGAAAAGGATTTGGAAAGCCCACTTGTGTACAGAACAGTATATGCCTAACTGCCGAGATTCAATCTTGGAGAATAGGACAGCCACCGTCACATGTTAGTCTGTGAGTTCTATTTTTTGTTTTTTGTTTTTTACAAGTAGATTGATATGAAACTATGTGTGTACGTATAACTAGAGCTCACCTAATAAAATTACAAAGAACAGAGAAAAAAGAATGACCAAATTGCACTGAATGTTTCACGGGTATCTTGGTCGATTGTCATTCTGCAAATTTCTTTTATACTTTATTTTTTGATACCGTTAACATTGTATTGAAGGAAAAGAGAAATTACAAAGATACAAAACAGCCCTGGAAGTGACAAGGTCACCAAGGGAGGTGACAGGGAAACCATGGAAAATAAAAAGGGGAACAAAGAAAAGACGGGAAAAGGGAAAAACAGTAAACACTAAAACAGCAAATACAGCCAAACTAAAAGACGACTAACACTTGAAAGCAAACACATCAAAAACTAAAAATTGAAAAAACTGCGCCACTCAAAAAGCGCCCACCAAAATTTCGTTTATACTTTAGTGGGTGTGCATAATTTATTTACACCCCAAATTTTATGTGAATTGGATTTGTAAGAAAAAAATAAAATTCAAATCCCAAATGCATTCATGGCCATCCACACAGCCCAAGTTCAATCTAGAACGCCAAGTATACGCTATTGTGCACATGAGATGGAGCATTAAAGCGAGCTCAACATCTTCAATTTATATTTAAATCCCAGCATATGTGACTAGCATTAAATATATATTTAAATCCCAGCATATGTGACTAGCATTAAATATGCACATCTTGTTCAAAAGAATTCAAAGCAAGGTCCTGTCACTAGCTGCAAGAAAGGAGCCTACTTTGGCCTCCTAGGACATCTCCTTATTTAGTAGCAATAGAACAGCCTAATAGATGAAACTGAGTTGGAGGTGTGCAACAAAGCACAAGTTAAGGAATGGAAACCCACTTATCAGGAAAATGCTATCAATAGGCCTCCTTTTGGACTTTAAGATATATATTAAAAAAAAAATTGCCATTGTGATGAAAGTTGCTCCACTTATTTTCATGAATGCCCATCAAGGCCACTAAAGATAGGGACTTGGATGTGGCTACTAGAACGTCAAACGGGCCTAAAAGATATCATATGAGTATGACATCTTACAGAACTGCCATCCTATGAATATATATAGTTAAGACTTAGAAAGTAGCAGTTTTCTGAAACAAATGGCATTACTTGTCATGTAAAATCACATCTAACCAACAGCCACTCCTACAATGCATACCATAAGTAAAAAAAACCAAAAACCAAACTTTGCCAAGACAAGACTCCCCGAGTTTCCTCCAAGCTGGAAAAGTTGCCCAAAAAATCAGGAAAAAAATAGAAAAATAAAAAAATAAAAATTCGTATGACATATTTAACAAATGGAAAATGATAAAAATTTGATGTTATTGGCTGACATAGTGTCTCGATTTTAAAAAATCTCAGAATTCTGAAATTGACTGGTTGGTTGTGAAAAATAAGCATGCGATTTGATAAAAGCTCAAAAAATGGGCTGAGGTAACAAATTTCAACCAATATCGAGCTATGGTCACAAAAAACTTGCAAGCGTTCGAACTTCAGCCAAAACCTAGCCTGCAAATTTCGATCTCTCAAATTCGAGAAATTTGAGTTTTTTCCTCAATTCGGATCTCCAATAAAAATGGATAGATCATGCAAAAAAACTGAGCACAAAAATTTGGGCTCGATCTGATCAATGGTAGACCCTCCCCTCTCCCTATTAAACTCAAAATTTTGAAATCAATCACAAACTCGCTAAGTCTTTTTTGGGGGCGGTTTGTATAGAGCCTAGGCTCTAAAAAATCAAATTAGAGCCTACCTTCAAATACTGTTGAGAAATATGGTTTCAATACTGGAAATCTTTTTGATAGCCTTAAAATATATTTTCATCTTTATTTATAAAGTTTAAAGCTTCAAAAATAGTGTAGATCGAGAGATCTATGAAAACTTGAAAATCTTTAAAATTGATAGTCCAAAAATGCGTTACAAAAACTTGAAATCCATTTTTTTCCAAAACTTGAAATCCATTTTTTTCTCATGCCCATGCATCTTGATGTCTAGATAATCAATTTGAGGATATTTGGGTATCAAAAGAACCTCTTCTGGTGAAATTTTTGAGGTAGGCTCGAATTTGATTGTTTAGAGCCTCGGCTCTATATAAATTTTTCCCGTCTTTTTTAGATGTCGCCCAAGTTATCGCATTAACTCAGGCAAGTAAGTGCCCAATCCCCAAACCCAAGTAGAGGATATTCTGAGCTAAGCCGGACTCTGCAAATCTTCCAATGTTGGTTGATTTTTATCAAAGCGATCCAAGCACAGAGTAACACATCTATAGAGAGGAACCTACTTAAGACATCTTATAACTACGAGTCTTACCACACTGGAATCCTACAAATAAGTGTGGAATCCTACAAATACATACTAGAAAGTCCACCGCTTACAAAAATAGTAATTTTTAAATTATCTAGCATTATTAATCATTATGACTCACTAATTTTAGCCACATACAAATATATACCGCCAATATAAACATGAATAAGAAATCCATTGGGTGCCAGAGCCACTATGTGACGTCAAGCGGACCAATGCTATCCAACACCAATAGACACCACAAGAATAAATAAATATATAAAACAATTTTCCCAAAATAAGGAGCAAGTTCTAGTGGGGCCAACCAACCAGCTTTCTTTAACCAGCCTTACCATACTAAAAATGTGCCATTTTTAATTTGTTCATTACGCTATTGTTTTGAGAGTATCTTGAGGCTTTAAGCAAAAAAAAAAGTGAAATAACCTAGTTCCCCTCTCCATAATTTATTATCCACATAGACCCTCAGGTCAATGTAAAGCTTGTACACCCCCTCTCATTGAAACATAGGATTGAAACCAGCGTTACCATACTAAAAATGTGCCATTTTCAATTTGTTCACTACGCTATTGTTCTGAGAGTATCTTGAGGCTTTAAGAAAGAAAAAAAAAGTGAAATAACCTAGTTCCCATCTCCATAATTTATGGTCCACAAAGACCCTCAGGTCAATGTAAACCTTGTACACCCCCTCTCATTGAAACATAGGATCGATATACCCCTTCCTTACCGATTTAATGCCAAATTTATTAAATTGACCTTTTTCTTTTAAAAATGCCAAAGTACTCCAAATTTTACAAAAAAAAACCATAGCAAACTCTTCTAGCAGAAGAGTCACCAGAATTTGGATCTTTCTCTTTTATTATCTTGCTTCTTGTGATCGATTTCATTGGACTTTTTCTCTTCAGAAATTTGATTATTATTGGAAAGTCCATTTTTGAAGAGTTCTAACAAAATATGCAAAGAGGAAAAATTGCTAATCCTTTCCTAAAACTCTAGAAGTAACATAAAAAAAAAAGGGAAAAAAGAAAGCAGTGCTCATCAAAGAGAGAACCAGCTATCCATGCTTATATACTTTCTGTGTTTTGAATGAAAGAGAGTTCTCCATGCTCATATGCTTTTATAACATTTCATCAAATCTCCATCTCACAAGAGGGAGGGATGGAGGAAAGGAGGAAGGGGTGCAGATGCAAGCAATGACGATGATGATTCTAATTCTTATTGATGTCCTCTCTCTTCTTTTGTAGTACCTTTATTGCGCCATCTTGGTTTGGGCTTTAAACATTTCGATTTTGGATGTTAGACAGACTTTGTTTTGCCTTTTTGGACTATTTTGTTGTCCGGTTTTATACTTTTGAAAGTTAGTTTGATGAAGACTTGGAGAGTTGGAGACTTGGATGTTATTATGGTTTATTTTATGGATAGGGAATATGGAGAATTGGAGAGTTGGAGACTATTAAACTATTACTCTTACATAACCTATTAGACTTTTACATCTTTTGTATGGGTTGATTTTTGAAATTTTGAACAAGTTTATTCTCAACATACGATATGTCATATGTTTGTATATAAAAATGCATATTACAATATTTTCAAATGCAATAAATTACAAAATTGACACAAATATATGCATATATGTACGTTTGGACAGTAAATATATGCATATACACCCACCTGGGCGCTAGGTGCCAAGCCGGCCACCTAGGGGCTGCCTAGAGTTTTTTGAACCTTGGGGGACCATAAATTATGAAGAGGGGGATTATGCCATTTTCTCTGAAAAAATAAAACATTACTGGGAAGGCATTAACTCTTGTTACATCTTGGCAAAAAAGAAGACAAAGGTCAACCTAATCAAGGAAAAACCAGTTACATATTACTGTCATGACCATACTCTGGAAACAAAACTACAACAAACTTATCCTTATGCCGATAGGGTGATGTATTAGAAACCAAAACCATACGAAGTGAATAAAAACATAGTCATACTCTAGATGTCACTAAATATCTTAAATCCCCAAACTGACATAATCATCATCATCATCAGCTAAGCCTTATTCCAACTATTTGGGGCCAGCTACACAAATCATGTTCCATCATTTCCGCTCTATCAAGACCTATACCCTCGGGTCCCATAAGTGACCATAATTTTTCTCAATACTTTCGCCCTTGTAGTTTGGGACCTTCCCCTTGCCCTTTTAAAACCTTTCACTTGAACCAAATGACCCGTCCTTCGGTCGATGTTGCACATTATCAAATCACCTAAGTCTATATTCCCTTATTTTTTCGCCTATTGGAACCATCTCTAAGTTTCCTTGAATGTATTCCCTACGAATTCAATCCTTCCATGTCTTGCCACTCATCCATCTCAACATCATCATCTCAGCTACACTCATTCTATGGATATGTTGTTCTTTGACTGCCAACATTCTATTCCATTAAGCATAGCTAGTCTTACAACCGTCCTACAGAAGTTTCCCTTCAATTTGATTGTGACGATCCCATAAGATAAATTTCGCCCAAAATAACTAAAGCAGCAGCCAATAACATTTCCCAAAACCTCATGTAGCATCCACAGTATATAATCAAACAATACAACGGATATGTAGATCATAGCTCACTTTCTTTCAGCAAATGCATTGAAACACAAGATGCATAAATTTGAACCTTGAAGACAGCAACATTACCTTCTTGAGCGGGAACGGGAACGAGATCTAGATCGGTTCCTTGACCTATCCAATGAACGTGAACGTGATTGATGCCGATGCCTCCTATCTCTATCACGATCATAATCATGGTTCCTACCCAATAATAAATATCATTATTATTGTTATTACTAGACACAAATGTTACCCTTGTTTTGATCAATGAAAACACTAAAATTATTAGTATTACTCCAGATATTGGACTATTATTATTAGTATCACTCCAAATATTGAATCACTTTTACTAGATGAAGAAAGAGGAGAAAACCAAATAAAAAAGAAATTAGGTTTCCAAAAGACACCCTATCAATAAGAAAGCATAATTCAATATGTCACATCAGTTCAAATATCAAGAGTCTCAAAATCAAGGAAACCTTGCACAACTGGATCTATGGGTATCAAAGTTTAACAAAATCTGATATAATCATCTACTCAAATATGCTGCAGACTATTTATTACCGATCAGAATCACGGCTACGATGGCGATCGTAGTCACCGGCTCTCTCACGCCCTCGTTCATCCCTCGTACTTCTATCCCTTTGATGACGATACCGATCTTTATCCCTTTCTCTATCTCTGTCTCTTTCTCTTTCTCTTTCATTTTCTCTGTCTCGGTCTCTATCTCTTTCATTCCCTCTCTCTCTTTCTCTGTCTCTGTCTCTTTCTCTATCTCTCTCTCTCTCTCTTTCTCTGTCTCTATCTCTGTCTCTGTCTCTGTCTCTAACTCTATCTCTATCCCTACTCCCTCTATCTCTTTCTCTCTCTCTACTCTTTGATTTGTCACGGTCTGATTCACGAAATGTGGGCTGCTGTAAAATGAAGACTTATCAGAAAATTGCATAAAATGAAGCATATAATACACGAATTGCAATAATTTGTTAAGAATAAACAGACCCAAAACTCTTAATGGGATGAATTGAACATATAATGGATCTTTTTTTTTTTGATAAAGAACATATAATGAATCTTTTGGACAAATTGAAAAAAACATGGATTTTTACTCCAGCAAATAACTAATTTGCAGTAACATACACATCTAATCACAAATATATCAGAAACCCACAAAGAGAAAGGCAAAATAACACTGTAATCTGCGGAATATACAGAAACCCCAGACAAGAACCCAAAGAAAAAGTGGCATAAAACCATATAAATAAACAAATGATAAGACAAAAATGGAAACAACCGGTGTGATTACTAGAAAATATGCAGGTAAAAACCAACCTGGGGCTGTGAATCTCGGTCTTCAAAGGCATCATAAAGGGAAGAGCCATCATAATCTGGTTTTCTCTGACTTGGAGAGCCCCATTCATGGAAAACCTCGCCATTAGCATCGCAACTCCCATCATAAACGGACATTTTGAATTTTGTTGAGAAACCCTAGTTTCTCAGGACCTCCAGGGAAGAAAACACCCTCGATTTCTCCCTTAATCCCTGAATTTAAAAATTCGATAAGGCAAAGGCCTACTTTGCTGGATTAAACCTTTTGCTCAAAACAACCGCGTCGAAGACAAAAAGAAAACCCTAATTTTCTCATCTCTAACATTTCGAAGAGTAACCAGAGAAACTTGTGCTTTTGAGTCCGGTTATGAGGAGAGAAAATATGGAGAAATTCTGAATATTCTTTCTTTATTTTTTTTTTCCTTACGACTCTTGACCGTCGAAATAAAACATCAAGGGTCAGGATCGGGCCTTTTGTGGGACCAGGCCATCAATGGATAGAATGGACGGTGGATGAATGAAGAGATGGCATTACATCGACAGGGACGGTGGAGATATCAGCCAATAATGATGAGCAATAATATGTAGTCATCAATGTTAGGGATAACTTAATCAATTTATTTTTCTTATATTATTTTTTAGATAATATTATTAAAAAGGTATGAAACCCCCAATAAATTTATTAAATAGGTTAAATTATCTCTATTAATATTTAAAGGCTTATGTTTTTTTTCATCTCAATTAGAGATATGCTAAAAACAAATTATACGTTTCCAGATTGCCTTTGTTCAGTATTTGGATTGCATAACAATCATGGGCTTTTTTATAATAGAAGCCCACGAAAATATCTCATTTATGCATTACAAATGAAGAACATTTCAAAATTGATGGTAAAAAAATGCATTATAAAATACATTATTTTCAAAACTTGAAATCAATTTTTTCTCATGTCCATGTATCTTGATGTCGAGATGATCAATTTGAATATTTTTTGGCATCAAAACAATCTCGTCTAGTGAAATTTTTTAGGTAGGGTCGAATGTGATTATTTAGAGCCTCGACTCTATATAAACTTTTACCATTATATAAATACTCGTAGTTGTTACGTGTTAAATGTATTTAACGCTTTCACCATTAAGGCTTCTTGCAAGGTCAAATTACTAAAATACCTTGCATTGTTATTTATTCTAAAGACTGGATAAAAGTAATTTAGGTATTTTAAAAAAAAAAAGTGCAGATATCTAAATGAAATGAAAAAAAAAAAAGTATGCATCAAATGTTAATATAGATAATATAACCCATGATTTTTTTTAAGGGTTTCATCCTCTTTAATGATAGTTTCCCTTACTTTTTGTACTTTTTTTTGGTATGAAGTGTAAAAAACCAAATAATTAAAGTTAATCTAATTTATAAAAAACCTAAAATTTGAAAATTACAACATTCATCTTCCTCCATTCTAATGTGACCATTTAGGAGGCTACTTCTGCACTATTGACATGATGTACACACTCAAAAAAGATGCACAAGCGACTATTTAGATTAAAAAGGGAAAAATAGAGGTCATAA